AAACAGTGGTAAATGTTATAGACACTGTACTACCAGTAAACCTTTCAAACAGTGGTAAATGTTACAGACACTGTACTACCAGTAAACCTTTCAAACTGTGGTAAATGTTACAGACACTGTACTACCAGTAAACCTTTCAAACAGTGGTAAATGTTACAGACACTGTACTATGATGAATTTCATTCTTCTTATGAATGAACTTGAACTTTGACTTACTTTTATCACACATTAATTATTATGTTCTAGCAATATGTAACTGGATATTACTTTAAGACATTCTCTGTGAACTTGGTGTAAATTTTTTGCAAACTCATTTACCAACACCGGTGTAGCTTTCTGCCAAATGTTATGACTCTGACATAAAAAGAAGTTGTCAGTTTTGTGGAGTTGTAAACCTTTTCGATCATGTCAGCAACTAAAAGTTATATATTTTTTTCTGACATAAAAAAAGTAATTTTTTTCTGTCATTTTCTTTTCTTTATTTACTTTTCATGTTCTAAGGAATAAAAATAGCAGAAACAATTCTCACAAAAATGAAACCCCACTCCTAAATTTTTGTATCTACAGTGGTCTCACAAATGGACATAGCAATCCTAAATAATATACAAATCCAATAAACCATGAATAATTCTAATCTGTGTATTAAGGATGTTTTTACATAGAAGTAAATGAATAACAGAAGCATACCTATTTTGTAAACACACATAGTTACAAAAATACCAATATCTGGTGTTTTCTACCTGAGTGTAAATGGCCAGGTCAGATATACTAATGTTCACAATATAAGTGAAAGAGGGAATGTAACCAGACACCTGTTACCTAATTAGTTATTCTTAATTGAATTATTTGATCAACTGACATGATTATAACCTTCGAAAGTTGAAAGTGAGGAGTGTGTTCAGTGACATGTCAAGGTTCAAACCCTTCAACTTCTGACCATGGACCACACTTGGTCAAATAACAGTAGAAAATAAAAGTACCCTAACAAATAAGAAAATGGTAAATTAGTTAACTAAACTAAAGCACTGGCTTATTATAAGTTTATTCCTAAAGAGTTATCTGCTCTAGCCATCCCTGGTTTCAAACTGATAGACTGGAATGAAGGCAGGTAGTCAACAGCACTCACCACCAATTGTTGACCTAGTCTTGTCTAACCAAATAGTGGGACTTGACTATCAGCTGATCAACTGCTCTCACCACCAATTCTTGGCCTAGTCTTGTCTGACCAAATAAGTGGGATTTGACTGTCACCATTATAACTCACACATAACCCAAAAGTGCAGAGCACAATATTTGTTTTTGGAAACAAGAACTGAATGTTGGATCTACAGATCAATAGTCTGATATGCTAACCACTGGGTCACACTTGACTCAATATTGAGCTCTCGATGGTAAAATCACAACAGAAACTTTCACCAGTATAACTCTTAATAGAAATACCATTTTAACACTTTCCAGCTTGGCAATTTAAGTTTTTTCTGAAGCCATGCAACAACATTAAGTTTAAAAAACAATTCTACCTCAGGTATCCCCCCCACCCCACTCCTCATATCACCCACAAAATAAAACTATAAATAAAATGCTTAGATTGAGAAAGCTCTTTTGATACAAAATTT